TGCTCTAATTGGGAACATCGACCTCACTGCCTGGTGGGCCAGGATGTGCTCCACTCTTTCCTCCTTCCTCTGCACCTGCACCCGTGTACTCCGATCAGATATGTCCCTCTCCGGGAGCTGCAGATTCAATGCCGTCCTTTGAAATAAATTATTCTGGGGAGAAGTCTGATGGTGTTTACAAAGGGTTAGTACTGGACCATTGATAGAGCTCACTAGTGACACCATCTTACTCTTTGTGGACTATTTTTAGTTCCTCCATTTTTTGTTGTTGTTAATCATTTTATTGGGTGCTCTTACAGCTCTTATCACAATGCATACATGCATCCCTTGTGTCAAGCACATTTGCACATTTGTTGCCATCATCATTCTGAAAACATTTGCTTTCTACTTGAGTCCTTGAAATCAGCTCCTCATTTACCCCCTCCCTCCCCCGCCCTCCCTCCCTTGTGAACCCTTGATAATTTATAAATTATTATTTTCATGTCTTACCCTGTCTGATGTCTCCATTCACCCACTTTTCTGTTATCCGCCGCCCCCAGGGAGGAGGTTATATGTAGATCATTGTGATCAGTTCCCCCTTTCTACCCCGCCTTCCCCTTTCCTTCCTGGTATCTCTACTCTCATTGGTCCTGAGGGGTTTATCTGTCCTGGATTCCCTGTATTTCCAGCTCTGATCTGTACCAATGCACATCCTCTGTTCTAGCTGGATTTGTGAGGTAGACTTGGGATCATGATAGTTGGGGGGAGGAAGCATTTAGGAACTAGAGGAAAGTTGAATGTTTCATCGGTGCTACACTGCATCCTGACTGACTCGCCTCCCCGCAACCCTTCTGTAAGGGGATGTCCAGTTGCCTACCGATGGGCTTTGTGTCTCCACTCCACACTGCCCCTCATTCACAATGATAAGATTTTTTTGTTCTTTGACGCCTGATACCTGATCCTATTAACACCTCGTGATCACACAGGGTGGTATGCATCTTCCATGTGGCTTTGTTGCTTTTGAGCTAGAAGGCCTCTTGTTTACCTTCAAGACTTAAGACCCCAGATGCTATATCTTTTGATAGCCAGGCACCATCAGCTTTCTTCACCACATTTGCTTATGCACCTGCTTTGTCTCCAGTAATCGTGTCGGGAAGGTGAGCATTATGGAATGCCAGGTTAATATAGCAAATTATTCTTGCATTTAGGGAGTACTTGAGTAGAGGCCCAATGCCCATCTGCTACCTTAATAATAAACCTACAAATATATATACATAGATCTAATTCCCCCATCATCATATATAAATGTATTTAGACCTCTATAAAAGTCCTTTGCCTCCTAGTTCCTTCCTCTATTTCCTTTTACTTTCCTCATGTCCCACTATCACGTTCAGCTTTCATTTGGGTTTCAGTAATTCCTCTCAGTTACATTGCCCTTAATCAAGCCCTACCAGGCCTAATACACCCTTCACACCATTGATTTTAGATCACTTGTTAGTCCTTTGTCCCTGGGATTGTTAACACCATCTCCTCATCTCCCAGGTCCCCCCAGAACTGTGGGTCAGTTGTTTTCTCCTCCAGATTGTTTATCCTGCCTATCTTATCTAAATAGACCTGCAGAGATAATAATATGCACAAAAAACAAGGCAGAGCAAAACAAAGCAACAAAAGAAAAGAACACAAAAAAACCAGAGACGACAAAAAAGAGAAGGGCCTGTAAATAGTTCAAAGGTCTGTTTGTTGACCTTTAGGGGTGTTTTCCAGTGGAGTCTGATGGGGTGCCACGCCCTGCCCTGCCCTGCCCTGCCCCATAGTCTGTTTTTAGTATTCCCTGGGGACTTTGTTGCTCTGCTTCCATTGCTGTTGTGTTGCATACCCTGAGTGTTTCCCCTCTGTGTGGTGGGGTCAGATTGGGTGCAATTCCTGCACTGTGTCTCCAGTGTTGTCTCCCGTAGGGCTGTGGGTCAGTGAGGGACGTCATGTCTCATAGTGGGGCTGGCCCTATGGTCCTCTCTGTGCTTTGGCTGCTTTGAGTGGGAATATCGTCCTCGGGGCTGGGTGGGCCAGGACGTGCTCCACTCTCTTTTCTTCAACCTTGATTTGCTCCTGTGTGTTCTGCTCAGACATGTCCCTCTCCTTTAGTTATAGCTTCAGTGCTGACCTCTGAGGTGGATTCTGTGGGGAGAGGGGACTGTCCATGTAATTGGGATTGGGGCCGGCCCCTCAGACCTCTCTCTTTTTTTTTAAAGATCATTTTATTGGGGGGATCTTAAACTCTGACAACAATACATACACTTTTGTACATATGTTGCCATCGTTATTTTCTAAACATTTACTTTCTGTTTGAGCCCTTGGTATCAGCTCCTTTCCCCTCCCACCCTCATGAATTTCTTTACTTTTTAGAGATCTCTTCAGATTTTTTATTTCCTCTTGAGGCAGTTCTGCTAGTTTGCGTCTTTCTAGAAATGTACACATTTCTTCTAAGTTTCCTAATTTATTGGCATGAAGTTATTTATGGTATACTCTGATAATCCTCTTAATTTTTGTAGGTCCGCCAGTTAGGTCTCGTCTTTCTGGAATTGGTAGCTTGTGTTTTCACTTTTACTTTCTTGGCCGGATTAGCTAAGGGTTTAATAGTTTTGTAGATTTTTGTTTCCCAAAGAACTATCTTGGAAAATTGATTTTCTTTAAAAAGTTTTCTGTTTTTAATTTTATTGATTTCTGCTAAAATACTTGTTTCACTCTTGCTTTTAGTTTATTCTTTTCTTGATTTACTAAGGTGACAGCTTTAGGCTTGATTTGAGATCTTTCTTTTCAGATATGGCCATTTAAAGCCATGCATTTCCCTCTAAGGCCTGCTAAAGCTGCTGTGATAAACAGGGGTAGTGGTGTCACACCTGGAACATAACCAGGAAGAGGAGAGAGAATCACTGTCAACATCACTCCAAGGCTGGTTCCTGGGAGGCAGGGGTTATACAAACCTCTTCTCTCTCACCTTTTTACCAATTCAGGTGGCTGCTGAGCTGTCCTCCCCACATCACTCTACTCCTTTGTTGGCCTCAGAGAACTCCCCGACGTACAGTTAGGGGATTTATTAGGGACGCAACAGGTTGCTATTCAGCTTCACCAAAGAGCCAGGTCTAGGGACCCCATGCACAACAGGAGGAAACATCACCCAGTCCTGCACCGTCTTCACGGTGTTCCTATGCTTGATCCCATAGTTGCAGCCACTGTGTCAGTCCATCTTGTCGAGGGTCTTCCTCTTTTTTGCTGTCCCTCCGCTTTACCAAGCATGCTGTCCTCCAGAGACTGGTCTCTCTTGACAATATGCCCAAAGTATGTAAGACGAAGTCTTGCCATATTTGCCTCTAAGGAGCATTCTAACCATACTGCTTCCGAGACACATTGGATAGAAGAGAGTGGTGACTAATCATGTTTGCTGGTTTTCTGCCCAAGCAACCAACTGATGACCATCATGAATACTGGGTTTTCTGAATTCAGTAAAACCAGAACCAGTACGTGAAGAAACTGGCCAACTCTCCCTCCTCCTGCAGGGTCATCCGAGAGTTGTCAGCAAAAGCGCTGGGGAACCTGGCCCAGTGTGCGCCTGAGTACTGTGCTGCTCATGGTAAGTGTGTCCGCCCCTTGGCCTCACCTGGGCTCCCAGGACTGCTGACAGCTGCTCCCTCTGTGGCCCAGCCTGTGCCTCGCTTATCACACTGCCACCCACCCTGGCTCTGCCCTGCCTCATGACCACTGGGCCTGGGAGAGGGGTTGGGGGGGCAGGTCCCCCCCTCCCCCCAGGAAAGCCCACAGAGCAGCACACTGGGCTTCGGAGCAGTGCCCTGTTTCCTGCACAGCTCTTTTCAGCCTCTTGACCTAACACCGGCATGAACTCTGTGCTGTGTCACCACCTCCACCTTGAGTAATAAGGTTGGGGAGTGGGTGAATGGGCTCAGTGTCCTTTTCCAGGCCACTGGGCCATGGGTTTAGCCTCTAAGGTCCCTTGTGCTCAGACAGGTGACCACTACTGCCTTTGTCCATTGAGTACCTGCTGTGGGCAGGGTTGTCCCAGTGCCCTGTCTCCCTGGCCTTGTAGCTGACACAGCAGCAGATCCTGGGGCTGGGGTTGGGTGTGAGCCTGGGGTCTGCCTGCCTCATCCTAGTCCAGGGGGCTCTTTGCAGTCCCTGTGCATAGCTCAGGTGTGGCTACAAAGGGTCAGGAGCTGTGCTTCAGAAACAGCTCACTTCCTTTATTAAGGTGTGACCTTTAACCGTTCCCTGCCTGTTCTTGGCTTTTTTCTTTTTTTAAACTTTGCACAGACGTTTGCTTTTTTCGCAGAGCACACCTCTTCTCCCCTTTTGCAGACCTGTGTGCTTTTCCTTTGAGGTGACATCTTGGTCAGCATGCAGCCCCTTCCAGCCCAGTTTCCTTGTCTGGTGGGGGACTAGGTGGGCAGTACTGTGCTGGTCCCAGACCTATGTGTGTCAGGGCCTAATAACCTCCCTTTTCCGATCTGCTCTCCTCACCGTGAGCTCCAACCTGAGCAGTGTGGGCAGCTCCAAAGCCCCTGAGAGGTGACTCCGAGCTGTGTCCACTGGTTTACACTGCCACTTGGCCCGCCTCACACCGCTTGCTGCCTCGGGCCTTCACTGGCTGGCCTGCTGCCCACAGCCAACTTCCCTGGTGGGCTTGTTCCCCATGTTGGTTTCTAGATCCTTGTTTGTGCAACCTCTGCCCACATACGCTTGCTCATTCTGCCCCTCCCCGGCCCCGTCTCTTGCAGTCCTCCCAAAACTGCTGTCCTTGACGGGGAGTCCTGACCTGCACACTCGCCATGGGGCGATCCTGGCTTGTGGGGAGCTCACCTTGGCCTTGCACAACCTGGCAGCCCAGCACAGCAGGTGAGGGCACAGGCCCTAGTCAGGGTCTGCTGGCAAAGCTGTTCCACCTCCCCTCACCCCCCATCCTCACCCCACTGTCATTGCATTACCTCATGTGGGAACCTCTCCTCTGCTTTAATTGGTGTTTATTGTACCAGTGCCACAAAATCTTTAAATCTCACAGTGTCTTTGATGAGGTGGGTGAGTCACCGGTCTACTCTGGTGAATCTTGTCCTGTTGATGGGACCCCCCAACACGGTCAGAATGCAGCTTAGGTGTGCCCCCCAACCCCCGCCCCAGGCCATCTCCTCCTGTGTGGCCCCTGATAGGCCAAGGGTGCCACCTGGCCCTTATCTAGTACCTGCTGCCTGTCATGTGTGTTGGACTAGACTTGCAGCAGTGAATTTAGTGGGTTTAACTTAGATTATGAGAGCAAAGACACTTCTCAGAGAGTATCGGCCAGCGCACAGGCTCACCATCTTTATTTGTTGATGGTTAAAACACTTTCCAAGGGAGTGTTCCAGCTGGCTCTAGCCCCCTAAGTCATGGTTTGAGTGTCACAGGTCTCTGGGCCATGGTGTGTGGCACATTTGTGCTGGCTGTGGGGCTCCGGTGCTGACAGAGAGGCAGCTGCTGGGCGCTCTCATTCTGCCCTGGTTTTTCTGCAGAGGCCATGCCCAGCGGTTCATTGGATGCGCTCCCAAGTTACGTGTGAGGGAGCCTTGATTCCCCAGCCAGCGACCCTGCCACAAGGGTCTCCGGTGTTAGAGACTAGCCGTGCACGGCTAACGAAAAGAGTGTTCTAGAATGTAGCCGTCAGGGCCAGAACATGGGGCTGGCAGTCAGACCCACCCTCTTGGCTGTGCCGTGCGTGTGCCCTGGTCTCTAGGGGTGCAAGGTGCCGAGAGAAGGTGGATGAAGGACGTGGAGAGAGAGAGATGGACCCGTGGATTGGAAGACTTCCTACTTTTAAGTTGGCAATACTCTTTACTCTTCCACAGAATTACTGCAGTCCCTGTAAAATCCTGATAGCCCTTTAGGCCCAAACTGAAATGCTGAATTCTAGAACTCCTAGGGAATTAATTACAAGCGACCCTAAACATCCAAGACAACCTTGAAAAGTAAGAACCAAGTTGGAGGACTTGCATTTAGCTGATTGGGAAACAGCACAAAGCTAATGTAACCAAGTCCGTGTGACACTGGTGTGAGGACAGGTGTCTGGGTCAGTGACGTGGAGCTGAGAGTCCAGAAATAAACGCACTTCTCTATGGTCAGTTGGCATTTGACAAGAGTACCCAGTCCATTTAATAGGGAGAATAATAGTCTCTTCAACAAATGGTGCTCGGCAACTGGACAGCTGTGTGCAAACAAATGCAGCTGGGCCCCTGACGCATACCATATATGAAAGTTAACTCAAACTGACTCAGTGACCTAAATGTAAGCGCTAAATTGGTAAAACTCCTAGAAGACCCCCTGGGATAAATCATGTTGACTGGCTTTAGCAATGGTTTCTTAGATCAAAAAAAGCACAGGCAACAAAAGGAAAAAACAGGTATGTTGGAGTTGATAAAAAGTATAAACCCTTTATGCATCAAAGGACAGTATCAGGAGTATGAAAAGACCCACGGAATGGGAGAAATGATAAATCATGTGTCTGATAAGGGTCTAGTATACACAATATATAAAGAATACTTCGAATTTAACCACAAAGACAACTCAAATTTTTTTAAAGGGCAAAGGTTTTAAATAAGCTTGTCTCCAAAGAAGACATAAATGGCCAACAAACACATGAAAAGATGCCATTGTCATTAGTAAAATTAGGAACATGGAAACAAAAACCACAATGAGATACTGCTTTACATTCATTAGTGTGTCTGTTATTTAAAAGAAAATGTTGACAATGTGGAGAAATTGGACCCCATTGCAGGTGGGAATGTCAAGTGGTAGAGCTTCTGTAGAAAACAGTTTGGCGTTTTCTCAAAGCATTGAACATGGGTTCCTCTATGGCCTGCATGCTCGTTTCTAGATATATACCCCAAAGAGTTGAGAACGTGTGTGCAAAAAGTTGTGCACTGACACTCATAGCAGTCCTAGTGACAACAGTGAGAGTGGAAACAGCCCGGGCCATCAACGAGACGACTGGAGAAGCCCAGCATTTCTGTTCAGCAGCCAAGCGCGCAACCACCGTGCTGTGTGCGCATCCTGGTGTGTCCATGAAAGGTAGTGCCCACCAGGCGTCATAGGAATAGGGCTCCTGGGTCATGGCCACCACATGTCCTTGCTCACGGGGATGGTGTCTCTTCTGTGTGGCCGAGCCTCTCAGTGAGTGAGGATGGGCCTGGCTTGTGCTAGCCGTCATAGGCCTATGATGCCGGTGTCACAATGGACTGCGTGAGTAGTAGCTGTCCAGTGATGTCTTCAAGCCCCCTCTTAACCTACCCCCAGCTTGTGCAGGTCTAGTCATCGATCAGAAATCGGGCAGTGGAACCACAGGTTCCATCCACGGGTTGAGCTCTTTGTGCACAGAGCCTCAGACGCTGCTTGTCATTTTCTAGGCCCGTCACATACTACTTGGATGAGAAGGCCCTGGAGGGCCTGAAGCAGATTCACCAGCAGGTTCGTATGTGGCGGCTTGAGCCAGTGGGGTAGCTCAGCCATCTGGGTTTGGTTTGCAGCCTTCTCAGCCTTGTTGCTGCAGGAAGGCTTTGTTTCACAGCACAGACAGCAATGTTCCGGTCTTTTATGTGGCGCTTGAGCTGGGACTTTGAAGTCCTGAGCTCATCCTTTTCTTTCTTCACTCCATCCAGCAAAAGACAGAGCAGCTAGCCAGCATCATTATACTCACCAGTTTGACAAAAAATGTTTCAAAGTAATAAAATATACTGTCACCCATACCTCGTCTCTCAAAAGAATTGTTTCTGATTTATCCAGTAGTAGTTGCTGTGTTTACATACTCACAGTGACTCTGTAAGGCAGAGTAGAACTGCCCCTGTGCACTTTCTAGATTGTAACTCTCTACGAGAGTGGAAAACCTCATTTTTCTTCTAAAGAGTGGCTGGTGGTTTTGAACTGCTGACTTTGAGGTTAGCAGTCAAACTCCTACTCGATCAGGGCTCTTTTTGAACTTGAGAGTAGTAGTGAATTGAGAGTGAGTACTCATACTGGCACATCATGTCGTGGAGTGAAAGTGCCTTTTTTACTACTAGAAATAGTCTTTAGTGCCTTTAAATCTAGCCAGAGTTGACAGCCAAGTCAGAAATCTCATCCTTAAGATTTTGTTCTTCTGGGACAGGGCTGAGGGACCTTTTTTTCCTGCCAAGGGCCATTTGGATATTCCTAGCATCATTCACAGGCCTTACAAAATTATCAATTAAGAGTTAACCTGCTATATTCGTTCAAACATTTAATTAACTTGGTTGAATGGCATCTCTCTGGTGAAACCTGTGAGCTAACTCATGTAGGTGATTCGCAGGCCTTAGATGGCTTGTGGGCCGGATGGTCTCCTCTCCTGCTCTAGACACTGTTTCCCAAAATAGGCAGTGTGGTTCCCCAAAGGGTGCTGGAATGGAATAGTCCAGGGAGCTGCAAAAGTGGATACCTACGTTTCATCTTGGATTGTGGGTTATTGCACAAAAGTTTTTAATTGCTCGGCAGGGCACTAGGTAATTTTTCTCTTTCTTTCTGAAAAGAAGCCAAATAAGCTTGGGAGCCTATGCTCTAGATTATAGACGTCTCGCTGAGCCATACCCTTCTGCTAATGCACCGCATTACCCCAGCACACCTCCCACCAACATCACCCCCACTGTGCCATTCCATGATACCATCTCATCATGTCAACCCACTACACCATCACACTTGTACCCTCTCATGCCAACACGTGTCATTCCATCGCTGTCCCATCACACTGCCATCTCACTATCTCGTCCCACCTCATTCTGCTAAGCCTCTCTCCCAGCATCATCACTTTCTCCTACCATGCCAACCCAGCACTATCCATCATTGTCATTCTGTGACCTGTTGGTCCATTATGCTGTCGCTCCCCCATCCTCCTAGCCTACCATCCCATTACCCATTACTTCATCCCACTACCATCACATTACTCCACCCATCCAGTGTCTAGCCAAAGTAGTGAGATTAATTCCTGAGCCAAGTTGACACAAAATTTACATCTAGAGTGGCACTGGAGTGCCTAGTCTGTGAAATTTGATATGTTTGTTGATGATGTGATGAAGTTCTTCTAAGTACTTCTGGAGAAAAATATCACAAATCTTGTTCTGTCCTGCCTAAGTGGCTAAGTAGGGGACAGGTAGGAGGAATTGGCACCTGGCAGGTCCCATGTGGCTCCTCTCACTGGTCATGTAGCACTTGCCTCCCTCCTGCTCCTCACGCTCACGTTTGTGAGAGGGCAGTGCTGCTCTCCCTGCCTTCCCTGTCCAGGGCTATCGTCCAGGCCACATGAGCTCATGAGCTCGCAGGAGGAAAGCTCTGCCCCAGGCAGGTCTGTCCTCAGGCAACCCTACAGGCTGGCATGTGCTCACATCCTCCCTGCAGTTCATACTGGGGCGCATTAAGGGCATGGTTCTCTGTATGTGAAGTCCAGGATAGGTAAGTCTATAGAGACAGTAACTGCACTGAGCATTACCTGCGGCACAACAGGGGAGGTTGGGGGAAAGAGCAGCTAATGACAATGAGTAAGAGAAGAAAACGTTCTCAGATTGATTGTGGTGATGATTGCACAACTCTTCCTAATATGGTTGAATGATTAAATTGTGTGATATGTGAGCTAGCTATATGCCAACAAAGCTATTTTAAAAGAGCAAATTGTACTCATATAACTGACTGCCATTTGTTTGCTTTTAGCTTTACAACCATCAGTTATACAGGTAAGATTCACAAAGCGAGTTTGTGTTTTGTGCCTTGATTACAGTCTACTCGGAAAGAGATGGGCTAGTCTGTTTGCCACGTGAGTCACTGTGTGATGTGGCTTGTCTTCGAGGCACCCTCGACAAGTTGGCTGCCCCCCCGTGTTTGTCTCACTAGGTATCCAGCCACTCGGGCCCAGACTCAGCAGTACATGCCTGGTAAAGTTGACTTATTTTAGGTGTCTGTACACCTAGAGAGTTCCAGTGTCTGCAAACAGGCCTGTAGCCTCTGCCATAGCCCACAGACAGGAATGTGCCTATCGCCCTGGAGAGACCCCTGTTTACCTCAACCCCAGCCCTGCTCTCTTCTCTGGGGACGTGCTGCCTCTGGGCAGTTTGAATAGATGGAATCAGGCAACAGGAAGACTTTTGTGTTTGACTTCTTTCTCAGAGGGAGTTTTCGGAGGCTCATCACACTGTTGCAGCTGCTAACATTTGGTTCTCAGTGCCCCACGGTGTGGGGGTCCAATTGAGAGCCTTTGGAATGATGCTGCCTGAGCATGGACAAGGGAGTCTTGTGTGTTCCCGTTGCCTCGTGGCTTTGCTGCTTACAGAATAAGTGTGTTTGCTTCCCAAAGTGGCTATGCCGTTTTGCACCCCACTGGCTCCACGTGCTTCTCAGCACTTGGCAGCATCAGTCTAACCCAGACCCGACCGTGCCCCTCTGCCCTGTGTTCCCCAGTGGCCGTGATGAGCCGAGTCTGCTTTTCTCCAGTTCCTGGTGGCCTTGTCACAGGTCCCTGTGGCCTGTGGGGTAGCCTCATTGTTCTCCTCTGCTCCTGGCATTTTAAGTATTTTATGCCACCTCTCCCACACCCCCAGCTGCCCAGGCGCTCGTCATAGCTGCCCTCTGGAAGCCATTCTGTAGCCCAGGATGCAAACCTTCACTTGGCAGTTCTCTCATGACCAGGTGTCCTAGGCAGATGCTGTTTCTGTCTTGACAGCTATGTCCCTCCTGCTCTGGGTCTGCTCTTGTGCACATATGAGCAGGTGTTGGCAGGTGGAGTGAGCCCCCCCTGTGGGTCTGCATGGGTCCAGCATGGGCTGGCAGAGAGGCCGGCAGGCACCTTTTGGGCTGGGCCATGGTGCCTTTCTGGTGCCAAGGTAACGTGGTCGAGTGGATTGGCTCCATGTGGTAGTATGGTGTGGTTCATGCCAGCACACACTGGAGCCTGGAATCACCCTGGTTCAAACAAAGGATCAGGAAAGTGCTTGTAATACCTTTTCCCCATTTATTTTCATAAGCAGCAGCTCGCTGGCACCCTTTGTAGCGTGTGGGGCTGCAGAGTGTGTGCCTGAGTGGCTGCAGCAGCTTCCTGCAGACGTCTGAGCCTGAGTGTTTTTCGTTCCTTTCTAGGGGTCTGGGAGGAGAGCTCATGAGACAAGCAGGTAGGTCTGTGCATCGACAGCCAGTGCTGGCACTATCCCTTGACTCTGGCCATCCAGGAGGGACACCAACGTCAGTTCCTGGTTCTCCTTCCCTCCCCCACACAGAGCACAAGCAGTGGTTTTCCTGAAGTCAGTGCTGAGTGTGCCCCTGGCTTCCACTCAGTCTCCATCCTGTGCACCCTTGGCTCTCTAGGTGATAGCTCTGGGTGGGGCAGCATGTGGCTCCGCAGAGTACGTGTAACCAGGGCCTGGCTGCTCAGGTGATGTGTGGCTGTGAGGACAGCACAATTCCAGACTTCTGAAGCTGGTCCAGGTCACTTACCTGTAGGTCCAGGCACTTGGGCGCTTGTCTGGGACCGGCGAGCACACCTCCAGGGTCTTTGGGAGGGGCACACGGTTTGCCTACCTGGAAGGTGACCATTTACCTCTCAGCAGTGCTGTATAGGAAAGCCCTGGCTATGGTCATGCCTTGCTGCCCAGGTGTGGCAGAGCAGAGAAAACCCTCCACAGGCTGTTGTGGCTGTTACCTTCAAGAAGCAGATTGCCAGGCCTTGCTCCCATGGCCCCACTGGGTGGGCTGGAATCTCCAGCCCTCTCTAGGGACCTGCTCTCGAAGGTCATGGCCAGTATCCGAGTGTGGAAGTCCTGCTCCAGCACATGGGTGACCAAGAATCAGAACCGATGTGACGACAATGTGGTTTTCCTCCAGTTTTAGTGCCCAGGAGCCCCTGGGTGGGGCAGTTGTTAAGCACATGACTACTCACTGACAGGTTCCCACCTACTCAGAGGGGTTGTGGCAGAAAGCCCTGGGGTCTGCTTCCAAAATTCAGCCATTGAAAAGCCTAGGAGCACATGAGGTTGCTATGAACTGGGGCTGACTTAACAGGAACTGGTTGGTTTAATCAGGTGACTTTTCTCTGCCCTGTCCACAGCTGGAAGGCAGGTGAAGGAGTTCCTTGGCTGGAGGATGGGGCACCCAGGACCACAGACAGTGTTGGGCTGGCTCTGGGGTACTAGGGAGCTACAGGGACATGTTAACTGCCTGGTATCTTAGCTGTGGTTCATTCAGAAGAGAGCAGGCTGACTGTTGGCTGGTAGCCCCCGCTATGCTCTGTCCATCTCTCCAGGCCGGCCCCTATGGGGCTGCAGAGCCATCCCTACAGCTAGGTGCTGGCTGAGTCTCCATGGCAGCAGAGTGTCCTGTGTGTTTGGTAGATATCCTGGAGAGGCAGCGCTGATTTGATAGTTGCACACAGGGCAGCAGAGTACTGTGCTGCAGCTGGCCCTTGGGCTCACTCAGAGGTAAACATGGCCACTGTCTGCTGGCCTGAGCTCCCCAGCCCCATAATTATTACTCTGAAGTCGGTCATCTTACAGTTTTTAAGATGTTTTTATCTTCTTTTCCCCCACATCTCTAAGTTACATGTTTACATAACTCTTGGTATTAGAAGTGTTCTTACAGACGAGGTACGACTGGAAGCTCCTTGAGCATGAGAAGTCTGATAAATTCACAGCTGCACATGGCAGAAAAGCCATGGGAAAGAGCCCACACCATCTGATTCACATGGAGACGTGGATGTGTATGTCTCCTTTGACAACGCAGATATATAGATGTAGCTTAAATGTTGTTACCAAGAAGGTCACGCCACATTACCAACTGACCCCTGGACGCTCCAGAGGTAGTTAGCCGAGCTGCAGGTTTCTGTGGAGGTTTCCCTTCCACATGACAGCCACTGCTCAAGGCTTGGGAGTCTTCCCAGAACCCTTTGTTCACATATCAAATAACAGGTTGGCATTGCCTGTGGATATTCACACACGTTTATATGCAGCAGAGGAGAATACTGTGAACATTGTCAAGGTAGCCCTTATCCAGTTCACTGAAAGTTGTTTTATGGCCAAATGGAGGAGTGGGACATCCCCGTCACCTTTCTTAGACTTGTCTTACTGATCTTGAGGATTTGTGTCTTCAGTCCAGGCTCTGCAACTGCACTGCTTAGATAATGAGCACAGAAGCATGCAGAGCTGCACTTTACAGGAGCTGTAGCAGGAGCTCCACTGCTCCGCTCACCCCACCCCCCCACCCCATTCTCCTCTCTTCCCACCATCCTCCACGTGTCCTCCCACCTCCATCTATTTCTCCTCCTCCTGCACCTTGTCGTCCTCCCACTATCCACTTCTCCTCCATCCACATCTGCCTTTCCTCCTCTGCCTCCTCACACCATCCACCTCCACCTTCTGCACCCATCCCACCACCTCTCCCTCCCCTCCCCTCCCCCCAGTATCCCTGAACTCTAACTTTGGTGCCAGCAGTACTGATAACAGTTATATAAATGTAAATGTTGGCCTATTAACCACAAAGTGCAACTCCACCTGCTGCTCCACAGGAGAAAGAGGAGGTTGTCAGCACCTGTGAAGATGGCAGGTGGTTTATTCTATATGGACTTACATAGAAACCAAATTGACGACCTCTGTGAAAAGAGACGACGGAGAAGCGGAATATCAGCAGCTAGAACCAAGCCAGGGGCCGACTGGAAGGAACCATCAGTAGTTCAGGTTGAAGTTGAAGAAAACAAGTCCACAGAACCAGCCTGTAACCTAAACTGTGTCTCACCCGAACCGTGAGCACATATCAAGAGTAGATTGATGCAGTAGGAACTGATGACAGAGGATCTGATGAGCTGGGGGAGGAAATGAAGAGCACCATTCTTGGAGAAAGCCAAAAAAGGTCATTAAAAAGATAGGAAAGGAAGATCAAAGTGGATGTCAGAAGAGATTCTGAAACTGGCTTTTAATTGTAGAGCAGCTAAGACAAACGAAAGAAATGATAACGTCAAAGAGCTGAACGTAAAATTCCAAAAACAGTAGCTCTAGAAGACAAGGCAAAACACTGAAATGGGAGGGAGGGGAAAAGAAACTGAGCTGATACCAAGGGCTCAAGTAGAAAGCAAATGTTTTGAGAATGATGATGGCAACAAATGCACAAATGTGCTTGACACAATATGGATGGATTGTGATGAGAGCTGTATGAGCCCCCAATAAAATGATTAAATTTAAGAAATATATTAAATATATTAAAAAACCAAAATATCAATGTTAGAAAACAAAATAGAAAACAAAAAAGGAAGAATATGCTCAGCATATCTTAAACTGAAAAAACTAAAGAAAAACTTAAACAGCCTTTAGTTGCAATACTGAAAAGATTCTATGGGCAAAATATTGAGTGATGCAGGAAGCATCCAAAGAAGATTGGAAACAACACAGAGTCACTGCACCAAAAAAGGACTGGTCAATATTCAACCATTTCAGGAGCAAGAACCAGTGCTGCTGAAGCAAGGAGCCCAGGCTGCCCTGAAAACATTAGCCAAAAAAAGACATGAGTTCATGGAACAACAGTGAAAGTGTTTCAACACGCTGATGAAGCACCTGACGCTCTCACTCGTCCCCGCCAACAGCTACTTGGCCAACTGACTGGAAGAGACCCACAGTTCACCTCTTTCAGAGAAAGGCGACTAAACGGAAGCTCAAATTGTGGAACAGTCTAACACATGCAAGTGAGGTTTTGCTGAAGATCGTCCAACAATGATTGATTGCAG